CAATTAGTTAGTGTGATCTGGATAAAGATTCTGCAAAGGAGACTGCAGAGTCAGAAGACAGGAGTGTCACAAAAAGAGAGAGAAGAGAGTATTAAAGAGAAAGAAGTGTCAAAGGCCAAAGAGAGGTCAAAAAGGAAGAAAACTGAGAAAAAGGCTGTAAGATGTGACAATTCAGAGAGCATTAGTAACGCTGCAGGCAGCAGTTTCAATTGAAACGATGAGGCTGGAAGCCAGACCTGAGGGAGTTAAGAAAAGAATGAGGGGAAAGGAAGTGGGGGCACCACTTCTCAAGCCACAAAAGGGAAGAGAGATATGGGCAGTGGCTATAAGGGATGGATGGACCACGTGAAGGTTTTCTGAGGATGGGGGAGATATGGGCATATTCGTAGGCAGCAGGGAAGCAGCCAAGAGACAAGGAGAGATTGACGATAAGCGACAGAATGGGGAGGACAGAAAGGGCAATCAGCTGGAGAAGATGGGATGGAGTGAGATCACTTGTGCAGGCAAACGGGTGTACCATGGCCAGGAGAAGGGGATAATTCATGACATGAGACAGGTAATGGAGGAAACAGTGGCAGAAATATCTAGGAGACATGAAGGTGGGAGAAGAGGGAGCTCTCCATTTTTTCCAGTAAATTCCAGTAAGGCCAGATTCTAGGCTGAGAGGGTGGTGCGAAGGAGGAGTCCTGGGAGGTCTGAAGAAGCTATGAAAAGATTTTGAAGACCCGTGGTGAGAGGAATGGGGAGTTAAGGAGGGAGATTGTAAAAGGATTGCCTTGTAGCATCGAGGGCCCAGTGGCGGTTATATACATAAATCTTCAGTGGACCTGGTCAGCCTTGTTTCTGATTTTCTCCAGCTTCATTCATGTGTGAAGAAGTAAAAGCAGCAGAGAGTGGATTTTGTGCATCTGTTTCCACTGGCAGATCAGAGCCCAAAAGCTACAGTGGTTTTTTAAGAGGCAGTTTTAATGCTGTTTCACACAGATACAGATGAAGGAGGTTTCATATCAAGGTATGCCTTGCTTTAAGAAAACCAAATATAGTGACAGGCAACCACAACAAGGCAAAGGGGACACAATGAAAATTTAGGGGAAAGTAAGTGAATAGGAAAATTTCTACTACTCAATTTCAATTATTCAATTATTAAGTTTCTGCTAAGTGCTCAGGATGTGGGGTGGTGATCAAAGGGAAAAACAGTCCCTGCCCAGAAGATTAGCACACACAGATAAAGTAAATAGAAGGTAATTTGAGGAGGTAGAGAACACTAACAATGCGGAAGGAGAGGGACCTGGAAAGACTTCACAATGGGAGGCACCTGAGAAAAGGCTACAAGAAAGATAAGGTTTCTGAAAATTGACAGGACAGAGCACCTTTAAGCATGGGATACAACGTGTGGGAATACACACCAGCAATGGAATGCCAAATTTAGGGACTATCTGGTGGTCCGGTTTGACCGGAATAGACTATATAGGAATATGAAATGTAGCTTAAAAGGCAAGTTGGAGCCAGATTACATAGGACCCTAAAAACCAGTCAAAGAGTTAATATTTTATCCTGGGAGAAGCAGGCAGCCACAGGACCCTGAGCAAGTGGATGGCAGACCGATCCATTAGGAAGTATTTTGTCAGGGATGTAGAAAATAGACTGGAGTCAGGAAGACCAATTAGAAGGCTAGTCCGGTGGTCCAGACTGGAAGATTCTGAACTCAGATGGCATGCTTGTGAGTAGAGAAAAGGCTACATAAGAGATGCCAGGGAGGCAGAATCTAGAGGTTGGACATGGAGAATTTAAGAGAGTAAGAGTCAAAGATGACTCCAACGTTTTAAGTTTAGTGATGATAATGAAGAGGATGATAATGCCAGCCACAGAACAAACAAGTTTGGAAAGGATGGGTTTGGAGGAAAGACTATGGGTTCCATTTTGGACATGTGGAATCTGACTTGCCAAAACACGAAGCAGGAAATAAATGCCCAACAGGCAGCTGGTTATCCAAGGCTAAAATTCTAGAGACATTAGGGTTAGATATACAGCAGAAAACTGGAAGGCACAGAAGCTCAGAGCTGAGAGGAACTTCTGAGGCCTCCATCAAAAGGCAGCCAAGGCAACCCATTCCACTTACTTCAAAGCTGGATAACTCTGACCCTGCAAAGTACACCTATCATTTCTAATTCTGCCCTCTGAAGCCGAGCAAAACAAATCTGATTCCCCCTTCCAGGTGATGACCCTTCAGATACACGAAGACTGCTAGCTTGTCCCCTCTAGGTCATCATCCCTTCTCCAAACTAAACAAGCCCAGTTCTTTCAAATGGCATGACCTCACGGCCTTCACCATTCTGGCAGCCCTTCCCAGTATGCTCTCTAGCCAGTTTATCAGAGTCCTTTCTAAAATGTGGCACTTAGAAGTAAATGCAATATTCCAGGTACGGTCTGACTGGGGCTAAGAACCAGTAGGACAATTTGTTGCCTCCTGACTGATGAACGAATCCACTTTCACCGCACCAGCAGGCTGCCCTGGCTTTTCTGGCTACATCACTACTGACTGCCTTCTGAGTCAGCCTCACACAACGGTGAATATCCCTAATGATGCTATATACTCTTTAAGGGGAGATCTACCTCCTATAACAACAAAAAAGTCACACAGTGTGACTTAAAAAAGAGACTGATTTTAATAAACAAATACATCAGAACTTCCATATTGATCTAAGTGCTAACCCCCTCACATCTCACCCCTAATAATTGATTGTTGTTTGTCCTTCATTCTCTAAGAGGACCATGACACCAGGAAGGTAGTGTCATGACTTTCAAGTGAATTGGATTTAAGTGAGGCAGGGTTGTGCAAAGTCACCAGCCTCACTGTCCTCCAAAGTCATCTGGGTCCAGTGGCCAGATATCGATCAGGACAATTGGAGATGGCCCCCAGCATTCATCGAGGAAAAAATGTTGCCACTACTCAAAATATGCTTAGAATACCTCTTTGGGAATCACCTTCAAAGCTACTCAAAGCACTCCCAGGAAAAGGGGATAACTTTCAAACAGGCTTAGCCTTTATAATTAGCACCATTTTCTATCAAATTAAGTTTTAGTTATTTACAAAAATCAGATCTAATTTAAGGATTGAAGATTTACCATCATCAGGGATGTAACATGAAGCAGAAGCAAAAAGCAATACAGGATTTCCAAGATGTTTTCTCAATGGTGGTATCACTGGAACAAATGCCTTCCTCTGGGACAACATTGATTTGGTACTGTAGAGTTCTGATGCAATTTGGTTTTAAAAAAAACAAACAAAACAAAACACTACTCCCCCCCCACCCAGTAGAACAAGCTCCTTTGTTTTCTCCACACATCCCCAGGGCAGAGCATAGTGCCTTGCCATAGAACCAGAACTGCACTCACTGATGATCATATATTCATTTTTTTTTTTAAAGCCAAAGGTATAAGAAATTCAGGGGACCTTGGCAAGGGGCACATGACAAATGTGTCTCTTTTTTTCATGTTTGGTTTTACTTTGCTAAGAGTTTTACTTTATTCCTTATTCTTTATGCTTATTTGATTACTTGTCTTCATTGAGGTAAGTTTATAATAATTCTAATAATAAAATTATTTTAAGAATTAACTTTAGGAAAAGTCTTTACTAATGTGCCCATCCTGAAAATTCGCATGGAAGGTTCCTCTTCTTTCCTCCAAATCTTAGACTTCTGAAATATCTGCCTGCCCATTCCTCCAGCCTGAGCTTTTTCCTTTGCTCACTTAACTCAACACACAGGCAAACCTTTATAGCCCGACTCACAGACAAGGCATGAAAAAAGCTACAGTCAAACCATGGTGGGAAGGGGAAGAAAGACCAGGGCTGTTCAAGGTAAGAAATGCTTTACCCAGAAGAGTTAAATACTATCTCTTGCGTTCCAAATTTCCACTAATTCTAGCCTTAACAGAGAAGTAGCTATGTCGTGCAAATCAGAGAATATCAACCCACCAGAGAGGGTGTGTAAGAAGTCGGAAAGGAGTAAAAGCGAACTTCCAAAAATAGGTGTCGCCAACCAAGCGAATCCCCACCCCCGTAGAGGCTATGCAAACCTGCTATTAACTCCTTCATTTTTGAGGTGAGAACAAGAGGCAGCCAGGGGTGACAGAGGGAAAAGAGAACTCACCAGAATTGAGGCCAGAGTTCGTCTGGTCAAGTCAGGCTCTGCCACCCCCCCCCCCCCCCCGCCCGCCCTCACTAAGCGTGCAACCTCAGCCAGCTTCTTTAGAGCTGGACACACATAAACGAAACCAGAACCTGTGCAGACTAAAACGTGTGCACACGCGTACGTACATTCGCCATACTGAAACTTACACACACACAACCAGAATCTGTGCAGATTTAAACACACACGCACACACACCCCAGATTGAAAAACACGCACAAAACCAGAACCTGTGCAGACTGTAATACACACCCCAGACTGAAAAACACACACGCAACCAGAACCCGAGCTGACACACACATACCCCCAGATTGAAAAACAAACACAAACCCAGAACCTTTACACACTCATATCAGATTGAAATAACACACTTCAGATTGAAAATACATATACACACAAAACCAGAACCTTTACACACACACACACACACACACACACACCCCAGACTGAAACATACACACACCCCTCTCCTCCAGCCTAGTTTCAGCTCCCCCAGCCTCAGTTTACCCACATCTCCAATAGGGGACTGGCCCAGACCCTCCCACGTGCTGGGGGGCTCGGCCCAGCTATTCCCCAACACTGCCCGAGGCGCAGTCCGGAGTCTGCGGCCGGGGGTGGGGGAACCTCGCTGGGCCTCAGTTTCCTCCTCTGTAAAATGGGGAGGGGGTCCCAGACTAAACGGCCACGGGGCCAAGACACAGCCAAGGTTAAAGTCGGGGAAGCCCAGTCCCAGCCGGTCTCCCCCTCTTCCGCCCCAGCCCGAACAGACGGACAGACAGCCCCGGCGGGTCGGGGGCCCGAGGCGCCCACCTTGAGCTGAGACTTGGAGACCTTGCCGCTGCGGTCCAGGTCGAGCGCGGTGAAGGCGTGCCAGATGGCCTTGAGCAGCTCCTCCTTGAGGCCCCCCATGGCGTGGCCTTGAGCCCCCGATTCCCAACCACCCCAGACCACCCAGCCGCCTCCAACACCGCCCCCGGGGACCCGGGCTTCACAGCCGCCGCCGCCGCCGCCGCCCGCCTGCTCGCTCGCTCCCCCGCCCGCCCGGTCACCTGACCCTCGCCCCGCCCTTCCCCCCCCAGTCCGGGCTGGGGAGGAGACAGGGGCGTGCGGAGGCGCCGGGGGCGGAGTCTGAGCGGAGTTCCAGGAGCCCGAGCTCGGCTCCGCCCGCGGCTCCCGGGAGCGAAGCCTTCGGCGCGCGCGCGCTGCACACACACTGAGGCGCCGCCTCTTCCCGCCTCCGCTGGACCGAACCTCCGAGTGCGCCCCAGCATCCCAGCGCAAGCCCCTTCGGGGGTGTCTCCCCTCTCCACCCAGGGGAACCCTAGAGGCAGTCCAGGGGGGACTCGGGACCCCTTTCACGAGTGGGGAAACCCGGTAAAACCTGGAATGGGTCAGTAGAATGCGAGGCAGAAAGACCAGCCTTGGACTGTAGCTGTGTGGCGCTGAGCAAGTCGGCCTCATCTTCTTCCCCTGGAAAATGGGGGCATCATGATCGCACCTACTTCCAGGTATCCCATGAATCCCATGAGATCCCATGAAATAACAGCTGTAAAGCATGCCCATCATATATAGGAGGTGCTTAATAAATGTTTCCTTCCTTTAAAGAGTGCTTTTAAATTGGTAGAATAAAATACATGGGATTACAAAGGAAACCACTTACATTCAAATTGATATCAAAAAATGTTTAAACAGTTCACGAACCCCAGGTTAAGAACCCCTACTTTGCAGAAAGACGTCCAGTAACGGGAACCCACTACCTCCTGGAGCAGCCCCTGATAACGTTCAGATAGCTGGAAAGTTTTTTAGCCCAGTTTAGATTTGGGGGGGGGGCGTGTTTACTGACATGGAGCCTAAATCTGCCTGTCTGCAATGTCTCCCCGCCCCCATTTGTCCTCTGGTGCCACAAAGAAAAAGTATAATCCCTCTTCGCCAGAGAAGCCAAGGGTCATAGGATCATCGATTTAAAGTTTAGATGCCATCTAGGCAACGAAACCCCTTCTTTTTACAGATGAGGAAACTGAGGCCCAGCGAGCTTATGGGTCTTATCTAAATTCTGCATCTCCCCAGACCATTAACACACAGTACAGTGTTAAAACTGCTGAAGCGGTCCCAAGATTTCCCCAGACAGTCTCTAGGGTTCCACAGGGTGCAACAAATCAACATTTGTTGAAGTTGAAATAAAAGACTGCTTTTGGGGAAATCTTTGTTCTTTTTTTTTTTCCCCCTGTGTGTTTTCTATAGATGTTCAACTATTCCCTAGGGCTGATTTCACCGCGGTGTAAGCTGAATTGTTGAACCTGGAGTTAGAAAGCATGGGGTGTACAGTCCTAAGTCTGACATTCATTAGTTGTATAACTGAACCTTAGGTCTCAGCTCATCTTAGTGCTTGCTCTAAGTGTCAGGTCCTATTTTGTTCTGTTTAGCATTTAAAACTCCTTAACAGTAATCAATGCTATCCAGAGATGGAGATGCTTCCAAAAAAGTGAGCCTTCACGGTGAGGCTTCGTGGCCACTTGTTGGGGATTTTGAAGAAAGGATTCTTGTGCTGGAGAGGCCACCTGGGGGCCCTTCTGACTGTTTGGACGTTCAGCAAGAAAATATTTGAGTGCCCTTTGACCCAGAGATCCCAGTGCGGTACCTACATCTCCAGGAGGTCATAAACAGAAGGTTCCCACATCCACCTCCATATCCACAGCAGCACTTTGGAAACAATGTCCATCCAAAGGGGAATTGTGGTGTATGAATGGAATGAATATTATTAGGAGGAATTCAGAGAATATGATATTAGGAAGAATAAAGGACGCAGAACCAGCAACGCAATAAGCACGATGACTACAACACTATAAGTGAAAAAAAAGGAAAAATGGAACCAAGCTGAATTCTGATAATGACTAATATTAGCCCTGGAGAAGAGATGAGGAGGTAGGCCTTCCTCCTTTCATTGGAGAGGTAGGAGGCTTCGAGTGCACAGTGTTGCATATAGGGTGATTGATGAGTGTATTGGTTTTGCTTAACTGGTTTTTTTTCTTCTTTACAAGAGAGTGAGAGTGGGGAAAGGGGAAAATGTAATGAAAAAGATAAAGGGCATCAGTGATAATTAAAAAAAAAACCAGAAAGGAATGCTGATAAATATAGTTATGCCAAGTAGGGAAGAGATATGGGAAGAGAAATGGGCAAGTTATAAATTTGGGCAGACTAGGGAAGGTTTCATAAAGGAGGTTAGTTTTCAGGGCTTTGAAGAAACTGTCATTTTTTACCACAACTTTCAAAGTTCTTTTTTTTTTTTTCATAACTTCCTACTGTTAATGAAAAGGATGTGATGCTCATTGCCCTGGGAAAATTACGTTATTGAGTATCATGTCAGGACTCTTGTGCTTCTGCAAAATGAGATGTGGGGAGAGTCAGAGCCCTAGGAGAAGTAATAAGCCTGAAAAGAGCCTCAGAGGTCATCTAGGACATTCTACAGATAAAGAAACTAGTCCAGAGATAGGAAGAAACTTAGCCAGGGTCACATAGGAAACAGTAGGGCTGGGCTTCCAACCTATGTCTCCTGACCCTGACCCTAGGGTTCTTCTTGTTATGTCATACTGCCTTTCATAAAACCAGCGATCAATGGTGCTAGAAGAGACTTGAGAGTCCAACTGGATGATCCAACGCATTTATTCCTCTAGAAGAGGAAGTTGATGATCACTCCAACCATTCTGTACGTCAGGAGGTAGCTAGATGGAGAAGTAGACGGAGTGATGGACTGGGAGTCAGGAGCTCAAATCTGGCTTCAGACACTTAATAGTAGCGTGACTCTGGGCAAGTCACATAACTTCTGTTCTGTCTCAGTTTCCTCATGGGTAAAATGGAAATAATAATAGCACCTCCCTCCCAGGATTGTCGTGAGGATAAAATAAGACAATATTCATGAAGTGCTTTGCAAACTTTAAAGCACTATATAAATACTAACTATTCTATCAGCACCCAGCAGAGGATACAGTGTGAGCAAGTGTTCAATCAATATTTGAAGGCACTTACTGTGTGACCCTGGGCAAGTCACTTAATTCTGTTTGCCTCAGTTTCCTCATCTGTAAAATGAGCTAGAGAATGAAGTGGCAAACCACTCCAGTATGTTTGCCAAGAAAACCCCAAATGGGGTCAAGAAGAGTTGGACATGATAGAAATGATTCAACAGCAACAACTGAAGATGATGATGATGATGATAATTATAGTTCCAGACTCCCAATGTGGTGGAAAGATGTACAGTGTTACAAGAATACAATGGCACAAGGGTCAGAAGGGCTGCAGTCCAGAATTTGATATTTACTAGTTCTATGTCCTTGAGCCTCAGTTTCCTTATCTGTTAAAAAAAATCCCTGTACCACCACCTTCGCAGGATTGCTATGAGGACCAAATGAAATAATATTTGAGAAACTGGAAAGAACTGTATGTATATGAAGCAAGGGAACAGAGGACCTTGGGTCAACCAAACTCACTTGCAGTTCTCCCCCCAGCCTGCTAG